TACCGTTCTGAATAAATCGAATTGAAGCTCAACAGTACATCTCTTAATTATGTGAGTTCGCTATCTTCCTCTTACTATAATTTTAACAGTCAAAACTATGAAAAACTCAGTAATAAGAGGTGCAAAAGATAGATATGATTAGCCTACGTTATTTTATAAGAGTTAAGATTGAATATGCCATTAGTTAAATTAATCTAGCTTTATAAATATTAAAAAATATATATAGTATGAAACCCAGGAATCAAATGGAATCGAACTGAACCGAACTGAACAAGATGAAATCAAACTCGAACGGTTCCATAATTACATTTAGACCTGACGGCTCCATTTGCTAAGTACCTGAAAATTTCGAGCCCAGTTCGATTCTTGTTAGAATTAAATAAAACCAGAACATGTACAGCCATAGTAAAGACTTATAATTATTTCAATAATTAATTAACTTCTTGTTTTGCAAAAAGAGAAAAAATAATTAATAGTTTTTGGGAAAGTAATGGATCAAATTAGGGCTGGGCAAATCTCCCAAATCGAACCGAACCCAACGATTCTTGTCAAATTAAATACCCGAATGGGTATCTGAATTAAGAATGGACGAGTACGATTCGGTTCTCGGTTCTAGACTAAGAACCGAATAAGAACCGAATCTTTCTAAATTTTTTTAATATTGAATAAATTAAATTATTTTAATTTTAATTTTTTCTAAACAATTAACAAATTAACAATTTTTAAATCCAAATTTTTGGCTCAATAATTTGTTTCATTTCTAATTTTTTAATTTTTGGCCCAATTACCCATTTTATTGTCTCATTTTTTAGCCCAACAAGATCAAACTCACTAAATAACCCTAAACACCTACACTAAAGTGTATAAAGCTATCTCGACTCTCGCAGCCTCGCTTACATTCCAAAACCTATACAATCGTCGACCTACGCTGTGACCTCCGATCGAAACTGTGACATCTGCCAACCGAAATTCTGACCATAGCAATCATTTGAATAAGGCTGTCTACTAGTCTCTGACATTTCAAAATCATTGAATGTGTCATTAGTTATATTTATATAATATTGTTATAAATGTTAAAAATTTTAATTATAGTATAGAACCAAACGGAAACAAATCGAACCGAACTGAATCGAGAGGAACCGAACCCGAGCGGTACCATAATTATATTTGGATCCAACGGTTCCATTTACTAAATACCCGAAAATTTTGGTTCGGTTTGGTTATCTTTAGAACCGAACCGAACCGAACCGCGCCCACACCTAGATCAAATATTTGAAGAGAACCGAACCAAACCGATCCGCGTCCACCCCTAGATCAAATATTTGTTGAATGAGATCATCTAAAAAGTTAAGCCATTTAAAACAATATATATTTATACCGGTATTTAGGAGAATATTTCCGTATAATTATATGTTTAAATTTTAAGTTGGTATGGACATGGAATCTTCATGTAAATGTTCGTTTTGAACGTTCTGGGATAAACATTTTAAGAATTATATTATTTTTATTATTTTTCTTGATAATCACAATTTATGTAAACCTGTAATATAAAGAGAGCAAAGATATTGAAATCCCGTGATGGATTATAGAGAACTTGTCGACTTGTTAGTATTTAAGTTGAGAAAGAAGTTAGAATTTTATTTAAATTTCTTTATTAATTAAATTCTTATAAATTCACAAGACATTAATGCTACTTAGATTTTAAAGAATACAATTGAGATTTATTAAAATCTCAATTAAGGACATCTAAATTTTAATAAATTTTAGTAAAATCCCAATTAGAGATACCTCAAATTAAATGGATTTTTAAAATTCATTAAAATCTTAATTGAAGATACCCCTCTTAATATAATATCCCGTCATGTTGAGTATAGCCTACTGAAAAATCGATAATTGATGACTTTTCATGAATTTACATAAATAAATGGGATCTTTCGCATGCAAAGCCACCATGATCCATGAGGAGATCATATAACTTCTTTGACCAAAATAATCCCAGTTACGTATAAAAAGGGTTCAGGGTGGCAGTAACATCAATCAAGATAGTAACTCAGATACGTATAAAAAAAAGTTTAGGGTAGCAGCAACATCAATCAAGATAGCAACTCAAACTTCTAATGAGGAGACGTGTTGAATAAGTGACATTCCAGGGTAGTTATGTCTCAACATTAGAAAGAAATTAATAATTAATTTTAAGTCAATTTCCACAAGAAATTGTAATAAGCATTTTTTTTTTTCCATGAAACTTGGAAATGAAATTTTATTTTCCAAGTTTTTGAGTGTTTGATTTGCCAAATTCTCCAACTAATTGATTTTCTAGCTTTACCCTCACGTTACGGATTTTTCCTTAGTTTGGAGGAATTCACTTTCTCATGGGGTTGGTGGAAATTCATTTTCCATGCAATTTTTTTATTATTATTATTATTTTTCTTTTCTTCCTTTTTTTTTTTTTTTTTTTTTTTTTGCAATGGAAACAAACTCTAGCAACAATTGTAAAAGAATATATCCCTTAAATTGACAATTTTTATGTAAAAATGCCAAATGACACCGAAATATAGAATTTTATTTTTTTGGCAATGTAAACAATTTCTATGAACAATTGTAAAAGTGGATATCCTCTAAATTGACAATTTTTAAGAAAAACAAAACCAAACGAACACCAAAAGACAGTTTTATTTCAATATTTTTCAAGTGGAAAATTATATCAATCAAACACTATTAATTGATAATTTTCAGTAAAATAATTTTTAAGCAATTCCATTTCTTGGAATTCGTTTTCTTTCAACTCAAATTCCATCTTTACAATCAAACGGAGCCTCATGTATTTTGTACCTTGATCTCGCTTTACAAGCTAAATAACCTGCCGCTATTATTGATGAAAGAAACGCTGAGGAAGAAGTTTTCCATAAGGCTTAGGAAAGATCGAGTAGTTTGGGCCTAATGTTTATGTGAATGATTGTTGCGAACAACCTCAAGTCTTCTCTTTCCAAGAACTAAAAATTGCTAAGGACTTTATGAAATCAGTAAAAAATTGTTCTCAATCACCTGATAAGTAATTACTAGTATATTAATGGGAACATTGATCATCATACATGAACATGTCATTGAGATGACAAGCTTAGTAACAAAATTTAAGAATATAGAGATGGGTGTGGATGATAGCTTCTTGGTACAATTTATCTTAACCTCACTGCCTTCTGAATATTTTCCATTTCAAATTAACTATAATACATTTAAAGATAAGTGAAATGTGAATGAACTTTACACAATGTTAGTTCGGGAAGAGATACGGATTGAGAACCAAGGAACTTATAAAGGAACCCTTATATGTTGGGAATTTACTTAAAATGCACATCGAAATTTAATTAATATTTAAATTCCCATCAAGACTCTTCTTTTATACATTTGTTGAATTATGTAAACCCCTTTGCTTATCTTAAACATGAACAATCACGATCTACAATTCACAACTATCCAATTATTCAGTTTTCAATGAAAATTTACATAACGAACAAGACTGAGAGAATTAAGGATTCTCTTTTCTTGTGTTAATAAGATAATGAATTGTATTGTATATTTCTCAAACCTTAATAGTTTATTAATATAAGTTCAAGTGGGTTTAGCCCGATACTTAAACTTAATTCAGACCATTGTTTAATTAATTAATTTGGTCCATAAATAAGTAACTCAATTAATTAATTGTACACTACTTCTCAATTAATTATTAATATATTTCATTTTTCTAGTTCTCCTTCTGCGTATAATCTATTATGGTCCACATCACGACGTCTAACGACGTAAATATTATTTTGATTGAATCAAAATAGGACAAATTAAAACACCATTTTAATTTATCATTAATGCCAAGACAACACGTGATGTGTCACATTGTATGACAAAATCAAACTTATCCGTTTTCCGTGAAACTATGACTTACTCGTCAATATGATTTGATCAATTACGAAATATGAAGTGTCTCAATCCAGCTTATCGATTATATCTTCCATCCCACTATTAAGTCGATGTAAGTCGAAAACTCTTTTCGACTTACGAGTGTACCTTGACTAAAAATTTTGTTATCAACTTAGTTAAATGAAATGTAAATCATAATTTTTTACTATCTAAAAGTAACGAATCCTCTATTGATCAATGTTAAAATTAATTAGCTTTGACTGGAAAAATTGTGTGACTGGAGAAATTGTGTACTCAATGTTAAAATTAATTAGCTTTGACTTAACCTTTTTAAGCTTTCCAAAAGAAGCAGTCTTTTGATGTATCAGTGGATTTAACTACTTCCAGCCCAGAGACTTTTGAACAGCCTCCATCCGCACTGGGAGAATTTATTGTCCAAGCTTTTGGATCTGGGAGGGAATTGCTTGCTACTACTATATACGATGTACCATTGAAAGGCTTGACCCAGTCCAAAAGAGCGATCCAAGCATTTTGAAATAGTGATCCAAAAAGAGTCCCAGTGTCAAAGATTTAGATGTAATTCCAGATGATCCAGATCCAATCGATTTAATAGTCATGTTGTTGCCCTCGAGTCTCAGTTTGGAGAGCATGTAGAGTTGGAATGTACTATCTTCTTGACTGACAAGCAAATGACACCAGCACGACAGGTAGAAATATTCATGATGTGACCATGACTTACAAGCATATCGACCCAAGTTGCGGAATTGACAAAATTACAAGCAAAGGAAATATAGAGAAGTGTTCGTAGTGGTTTGTTTGCATTTTCATTTTCCATTTTCATTTTCAAAACGATTTTTAGTTTTCCTCGAAAACGGCCCGTTTTCGGCATTTTGAACGTTTTCGACATTTATAACTGAAAACACTGAAAACGATAAAAAGTCGTTTTACGTTTTCAGTTATAAATTTTAACTCGTTTTCGAAAATACGGACCAAACGCGTTTTCCGCGTTTTCGAAAACGGAAAACGGAAAATAAGCCGAAAACGGCAAACCAACCACGGCTGTAGCAAAGTCAACTGCTCCTGTCCACTGATGCAATTAAGAGAACTTGACATAAACCGCAAATAGATCCAACTTCAACAATGTGGGTAAAAGATCGACACTATTATGCCGTACATCCTAATTTTATTGCTGAAATAACCACAAGGAAATTGCAAACATACAAGCAAGTCCTAAACCACTTCTCGTGCCTACCGACAATAAGGCAGCAGCTTCGACAGTCTCTTAAAATGCATGACAAGAAACACGATTCTACAAACCTCGACCACGTCCTCTACTAACATAGCCATATCGCCCATAACCCCTTCCATGATAAGAGCCTCGAAAACGACCACCACGACCAGATCCCCGACCTCCTCGGCCCCCTCGATACCTAGAAAAATCTCCAAAAGTCTGCAGTTGCCAGATATATAATTAGCTAAAGTCAATAACTAGAATATGAAGATATCAATGATGGACGTACCTCTGTGTCTAACTTCATCTGCTCTGAATACCTAGTTCTTCCATGATTTGGGCCATTGTCCAGTGCATTACAAGAAAGGGAATCGAAAAAGTCGTCCTTGCTATAAACAGGCTGTGGAGCAAAGAAGTATATTCGACAATTGGTATATAATAGACTCATACCAAGTGAACACGTAGATATGAATACAGACAAAAGAAAGAATCGCATACCTCAATCTTTGGCAATTCAGCATCATCTCCATCTTGCATATCAGCTTCGTCACTGACATTTCCATTCTCATCTTTCGACTGGGATTTGTTACTTTTTCCCAGATGACCCCAGACCTCATCCTTTTTGAACTTCTCATTCATTGCCATGAAATCAAAATCTTCGGTGAATTTTGCCACTGGTGTTCTCTGAGAACCATATAGGAGACAAAATATGGAATCATGAAGGTTAAACATTATATCAAATTATACAAGAAAGATGATATTGGTCACTAAAGGATGCTTGTTAAGGAAAGATCTACTATATAGGCGGCAGAAAATTTAAATATTTAAAGAACCTTGATATTGTGAATTTTTATGAATTTTTGTGTAATGCAAAAGTGAGTCATTACCGCAGGTCCCGGTCCGGGTCCTCTACCTCCACGTCCTCCATAATTGTTACGCATCTGATAAGTAGCTCCATTTGGCTACAAGTACAGAAAAATATGTACAAACATCTCAGCCACATTTTACATTTATTTCATGAGCCATAAGTAAACTTTTTACATTGGTTAACAATTTCAATCATCCGCAGAAAATGGTAAGAAAACAACAACCAAAGTTTACCCCTTCCATCAACTAAGTGAGCAATAATGTACACTTGAACAATTTCAGTTACAGCTTGCATTGAAGATAATATTATAAGCCCTGCAAAAACTGGAAATTGATTCTCATAACATTTCATAAAACAAATGACGGCAAGGTGAAAGTGCCAGATCCTTTAATTTTATCTCCTAAATTATCATTTTGCAGTTACATATAGCTTTTAACCTCGTTAATCCATGAAATCCTACGACATCTTCAAAGTTCAAGAGCTAAAACTATTACAAGCACCCTCCATCTTAATAGCATTCAATCAAAAAATCAAATAAAATTTCGGGACACTAAACTGACTAACAAATGTGTGCAAGGAGAAAGGAACCTTTTGGAATCTTGTGCTTGGAGGCAAAGGTAGAATTGGTGGCTGAGCTTCAGTTGCAACTGAAACTGGCGGTTCTGGAGATGGCTTTGGTGACACTTGAACTACTTCCACATCCTTCTGAGCTGTCCGCAAATTTAGTGTTGAAGGAACCATAGCTGGTCCAGATTGCAGCAGCTGACCGGGGGTTATAAGTGAAGGGGTGGGTGTTTCTGCTAGAACTGATCTTGATGTCCCAGAAACAGATGTCGGAGGCTGAGACATGGTCTGATGAGGCAAGGCTGCTGGGCTGAATATTGCACTAGATTTGCTAGCAACCGAAGACATTCCAGCATTGTCAGGAATTGTTGAAGACATCAGAGTCAAAGTTGGCAAGCTAGAACTCAGTGTTGATGTAGGGATAGCTGAAATAGGAGCTTTGTTTGGAATTGGATTCGGCATTGATACAGATGCTGGTGATACAGACTGCAGTGGAGGAACACTCAAAGACAAAGTTGAAGAAAGTAAAGAAGCAGAGCTTAAACTAGCAGAACCAGTGCTGTTAAGAATCAAGGGAGAAGGATATTCCGGCAAATTAGAACCTGGAAAGCTCGATCCTCCTGCCGGTAAAGATGCATTGAAATCAGAATATGGCATCTGTTGCATGGACGGAGGCATTGACAGTCCAGGAGGTGGCCGAAGCAAGGACTGCTGGGGCAGTTGAGGGAGCCCATTTGGTGCACCATAGAATCCCTGCCAATACATTGGCATAGCTAACCCACTTCCATTAGCATTTGGTGGAAAAGGCCCCCAAGAGTTCAAGTTCCCTCCCGGTTGATATAAAGGCAGACCAGTTTGGAAAGTTGACCCAGGGTGTCCCGACTGAGTAGAATTGGAACCAAGATCTGTCAAAGACCCAGTAACAGCTGGAGGCAAGCTTGTGGATGCGGTTGCTGGAAGAGGATAATTAGACTGCATGTGGTAAATAAAGGTTAATAAAATTAATTCAGCACCACACATACCATCACTACAACAGTCTTTATACTACTTGCCTGAATAATGGCTGGATCACTGTTTATGGGTGGTGTACTTTGAACAGGCGGAGAAGATTTTACCTGTAGATCCTGAGGAGAGCAGAATGGAAGGGACAATTTGAGGCAAATAGGAATAGATGGAATAAAGAAACAACAGCCTAAATATTATCCAGAAGACAATAGTAACATAGCTTCTACTTTAGAGTAAGACTAATACTTCAAAGGGCAGTACAGGAAACTTATCAAACCGAAACTGTCAATTTATACGAGCATGGAAAAACCCAGCAGACTATTCTTGTCAATAGAATGTACAGTAAGTTTTCCACGAAATTGGCGGTCAATAAAAATTTAGAGAAATGAAGAACAAAAGAACAACAAAAGTAAAAGGAAACGTACAATAAAGAATGCAAGTGTTTTTTGTTCACCCAAAATCAATATAAATCCCAAGTTGAGGCCCCCTCTTCCTTTCAAAATGAAACTAAGAGCTTTTCACCAACCATATGTTAGTCGTAACCAAAATCAGGAAATCGCCTGATATGTAATCATAAAACTTAATTTTTCAAGACAAACTAAGCAATCGTACGGTTGCAATCAGATACCTTGATATCACTTCCTCTAAACAGTATGTACTCGTAAATTTTGTCACCAGGAGGGACTTGTGGACCATCCTTTTTTCGTCCTTCTGTTCCAAATGATCTCACTGCCACGAGATAAATCCACGACAACAGTTAGGTCGCATCCATATTTTAACATAATAATCAAAGAGATTGTTGATGAAATTCACTCAGCATACAAATTTAAAGATTTTGATGACTCAACTAAATAGATATATTGCAAATGACAATACACCCAAAATGTTTTCAGACCTGTTCAAGTTTCCAGCAATCATCATGCTGTAGGTCATATAATTTTACTTCATTGTATGTTTAACATAAACAACTTGAAATGCTTAGGTAAGCTATCGCACGTCAAAGATCCCTACAGCACTATTTTTCAAGCCAAGTTTAAAACTAATTATTGGTATAATAAATGCAGGTAGCCACATAGCCACATATTAATTATAAATTTTCCTTAACATAACATGTTATAGTTTCAAATTTATAACATATGAAAATTAATAATGAAACTAAACAAAACATATCATCTTTTCTCAGTTTTCATGGCCAAAAATATAACCAGAAATTTCCATAAAACAAAAGGAAAAAAAAAATTAACAAGAATAAACTTGTAAAAGTAATAATTAAGCCCCCATTTGGTAGTGCTTTTCAACCCTCCCCCCCACCCCCCACCCCCGAATTGATTTTTTGACCGTTATTTCACAGTTCCGGCCATTATTTTTGACTTCTTCACTCACGGGTGCCCGGGTCAAAAAATCAAATCTCATAATCACTAACGAACAGGCCTAAGTAAAAAGAATCAGAGTTATTAGAAAAATTATCATAACTCAATAATATTAATCGTAACTCGTACTAGACCATAATAGCAAAGGATTATTAAAAAAGACAGCACAAGAATTAAAAACCGTGGAGAAACAATCAATCAAGCATGCGAATGAACAAAAAGAGCAAATGACAATGAAAATGCTAATTATTCAAGCAGGGTAAGGAAAATCTAAACAAATCCACTAACAGCAAAAAAAAAAATTTTGAAACCCTCCGACACAATCAAACGATCAATAAGTCAACAAAAATTTATAAATAAAATATTATAAATTTTAAATTACAAAAGAATACAAAAATCATAATTTTTATGAGTTTCTCACCGTTACGGAGGCCGATGCTGGACTCTTCAGTGTTGATGTTGTAAAGAATACCTTCGTATCTGATCTCACTCTTGGAAGTCAAGCTTATCAAGCTGCCTATATACGAGTCCGCCGATGCTCCGCCACCGCCGCCAGATCTACTACTGGACGCCGTAGCTGAATTATCTGCCGCCATCCTTTGATTCTATTCCCCCTATTTACCTTTAACCATATATAGAATTGTGTAGAAATATATATATCTAGAGAGACGACTCTTCAGTCCTCAAGGAGAAGAATTCAGGGAGAGAGAGAAGGAGAATGTTGTGACCCCTTTCAAAGGTGTGAGACAATGTAGGGTTTCAGTTTTTCTATTTTTCCATTTTCTACCTCTTCGAAAATAGTAAGTTGCCGGGTAAAATGATGATACGTGTGATTTTACATTACAACATTAAAAGGTAGGTGTTTGGATGTGTTTTTGAGAATAAATTTTAAGTGTTTATTGATTATTTTAGGAAAAAATTCGATATTGATTGAGAAAATATAAAAAGGAACAACATTTGATGAAGAGTGATGGAAGTTGGAAGAAATTTTAAATTGGGGTATCAAAGTAAAGTTCAAATGCATAAAATGCAATAATGGAGGACTTCGAGCCGACAAGTAACAGAACAAGGAAATTGCACAAAATTGGAAAGTTGTTAACATTTAAAGTTCTTGTTTGATATGAATTTTGATAATTGATTTTTTGACTGTTAGAAATAATGTAGGTTTTCTCCGTGAGAGAAGAATTCAAAAATAA